TCCAATAATTAGTCAATCTTTAATTAAATGATGAGATGATATGTCACTTATCATCGAACCCACATCGTTGGTCTTTCTCTAGCAAAATATCTACCTGGACAGCTAGATTTGATCCCACAAAAGCAAAATATCAAGTCTCGAATTCGAAGTATTTATGATTTGCATAGATATTTCTTAAACATATTTCCATGGATGAAGTTTGTATTTGTGAAAAATGAAGCTGATGATTGTAGAGTCAGTTGGGAATTCATACCATGAATATATGTCATGGTCCTAAAATCTTAAAGATCTTTATGGAATTACTTTTCACAACTAAATAAGACCACAAATCTGAAAAATTTTATGCTAGGGTTTTTCCATTGATATATTTTACACTAAAGCGTGGGAGAAACAAATTGATTACAAATTTATTATTCATGACATTAAAATTGAGGACATTTTACTTATAAGTGAAGAAAAATACTCACCATACTAGATCAATAAATAAGAAGTGACATTATGCTAGGTTTATTGTGCTAAAAAAAGTTGAGACACATTTCAATTGTTACCTTATATTCTAATATGAGAGCATCTCAACCAGTTGGTGGAAGGTAAGAGCAAGGGCAACAATGTTGAGTAGTCCATAAAATCAAGGGCAAGTGGTGGGCCAACCACTGCCAACCCAAATGCCCAGCCTGTTGGAAAATATTTGTATTTTGGTTTATTTGAATGTTTGGTTTTCTGGGCTTAACCCGTTAGCATTAGGGTTTCGGTTTCTTACCTTGTAGAATTAGGGTTAGTTTATTATAAATAGCATGCTTGTTATTCAGTTGAGTATAAGTTAGTCACAATGTAGCCTTTTAGGATTTTGTAGCCGTTTCGGCATTCTCGTTTATTTAATAATATTCCTATTATTTTGTTAGTCTTGTTCGTTGTGTACTCTGATATTCAACTTGGTATTAGAGCGGGTTCGATCCTTAGGGTTCAATCCGTTCTCGTTGGTATCAATTTGTTTGTATCAGTTTTGTTTTCGTCATCTTCCGCTGTTTGTGTTATCGTTTTAGATTTGTTAGTTGGTATTGATTGTTTGCAAGGAAAGAGTCTGATGTGGGGAAGTCTCTTGAAGAGAAGAGAAGAGGAGCAGAGACTTGGATAGATCGTTCGTTTTGGAAAAGCAACCGCAGATGGCGTGTGTACCATCATGAGTGGGAACAGGAAGAGGATACTTGACGAAGATGAAGGATTTATCAGCGACGGCATCTGTGAGTTTGAGATCATTGGATTTAGGAGAAGGAAAAAAAAAAAAAAAAGAAGAAAAAGATAAAATTGGTTGCTTGCTTGTTTGAGGCCCATACGGGCAAAGAAAAAATTTGTTTTTTTTATTGTTTGTTTGGAAGTTGCATCGGCATCGGCATTGGCATCGGCATCGGCATCGGTATTGGCATCAGTATCTGCATTGGCATCGGCATCGACATCGGAATTTGGAGGCTTGCATCCACATCTGTTTGTTGGCAAACTCATATCGTGTACCCCCATGAGTTTGACGGGGGGTGTTGGAAAATATTTGTATTTTGGTTTATTTGAATGTTTGGTTTTCTGGGCTTAGCCCGTTAACATTAGGGTTTTGGTTTTTTACCTTTTAGGATTAGGGTTAGTTTATTATAAATAGCATGCTTGTTATTCAGTTGAGTATAAATTAGTCACAATATAGCCTCTTAGGATTTTGTAGCCGTTTCGGCATTCTCGTTTATCTAATAAAATTCCTATTATTTTGTTAGTCTTATTCGTTGCGCATTCTGATATTCAACTAGCCTTCACAAGCCCGGCCTACTACCTTCGACAAGCTGACATCAGCATGACGTCAACGCCCTTTTATATCTATTGATAGAGCTCTGAGTTTTGATACGCGTGTAGAAAGCTCTGGTTCCTTTTTGTATGGCTCCCACCTTTTAGCATTAGAAAATTTAGGAAGTAGGATTCTCTCCCCTCCTCTCACACTTTTTGTTTTTGTTTTTGTTTTGTTCCTATAAAAAAATTAATATAAAATGTTAATGTGGCTTAATCGTAATTCAAGTAAGAGGAGAGAGATGGAGAGAGATTATGAGAAAAGAGAATCTTCTCCGAAAGTTAGAACAGGCCACACTTGTATATGTAGTTTGAGGGGACCAGGGGTGGGGAAGGACAAAAAGGACGGTGGTTAGAGTAAAACTTCACGTCCGTAGGGACTGTATTATGCACACCACATGGGACGAATATATATGTCCATGTGATAACTACAGCTGCATCACCACATATATCCAGTCTAATTTTTCTAGGGCACAACTCAATTTTTACCTTATCAACAGTGGAAAATAAAATCCATAACATGAAGAAGTTTAAACAAATTTTATAGATCAAGAGAACAAAACTTTAATGGAGAAACCAAGATGGACATCTAATTCCGCGGCGAATTGATTAGCCAAGTTTGTCTTATGTTTTGAACATAATAACTCTAGATATTATCTGTGATGTTTTAATTAAAATTTTTAGAAAGAAAAAAAAAATATATAGGGGGGAACCAAGTTGAGAAAATATCATTTAAAACTTTAAAAGCAATGGGACACTATAAAATATAATGAAAAAAAAAAAAACGTAAGAACAATCATAGATGGACGTAAAAGCCAAATCCTGAACTGTTAACTACTTAAACTCAACTGCGGACGCCTTTCATCGCCGCGTGCAAGGACATGGAAAAACTTCTCCATGTTGAAAAATAAAATATTTATTTAATGTAGAAGTTAACACGTACGATGAATTTGTGGAATGCATGCATGAAGAAAAAGTCGAAAAAGTCGAAAAAACTCAACAAGAACCACAGAACCCAGGTTTACTGCAGTACTATATATTTAGACATGCATTTCGCTCGTCAAAAAATTTGTGTGATGGAGGCTGAATCCGTGTTAAAATGTGGGTACTCCATGTGCTCAATTTGTTCTAAGCATGCGCATGCCCTCCAGGTCTATCAAGTGAAACATCATTTATGTCTAACTTCAACTTGGATAAAATTTAAAAGTTTACCCCGTTATCCCATTAACATACTTGGAGTTTAGTGAGCCAATAAATCCAATCTAATCCATCCCAGTCCTAGGCAGAAAACGTGGTTGCAGAGTAATCAACTCTTTATAAGATCATGCAAAGTCCTTTTGCTTTATGATGTGAAACAACAATCCAAATCAAGGTTCTAAAAGATGCTAGGCGCTAGTCGGGCGGCTGGCTGGGCCTAGTGCCTAAGCAGATGGGCGGGGCCTTAGCGGACTAGGCGGATTTAAGTAAATTATTATATATTGGACAAATAAGTGCCTATTTATACTTAAAAACACACATAATTGTATTGGGATACATAAATTGTAAAATCAAATGACATATAGATTATATTAGAACTGTTGAAAACATGAGACACACAAGAATATAATGAGTGTTCATCCTAGTATTCAACAAGTTTCTTACATTTTATTAAAAAAATAAAATGCAAAATGAAAGTTATCGATTTTCTCTCCAAGTGAGAGTCGCAACCTACGCAGATGCCTAAGTGAGTTTATCTAGGCACCTAGGCAAGTTAGGCGGATGCCTAAGCGGATCTAGGTGCATTTTCTTAATTTTTAAACGTCTAGGCACTAATCGTGGTGCTGACCAACCGCCTAGCACATAGGTGGGGGCCTAGGCAACGCTAGGCGGAGATTTTTAGAAACAGTGCTCCAAATATTTACACGCATTACCAAAAAAACAGTATTTGTCCTACTAGTTTGACCCGACGAACCATATTTCGTTAGGTCAATGGAGTTTGCCCAACGAAAATTTACAGTAGTTAAGCAACGCTAGTCAACATTGAGGGTAAGATTATATTCATCCGATATACTTTGGCGCCAAGGAAGAAAAATGACGCATAATATGTAGAGGTTTGCCCGGCGACACATTTCATCGGGTCAAGGGTGTACAACATTGGGCAAAGATCCACAATAACCTACAAAAGAACCACCGATATTTTGCTCGACGGTTTTTTATATTTGTTCGACGAAATAGTTCGTCGGGAAAAACCCTATTCATTAAAAAGATTCGTGCCTTCTTCTTTCTCCCTCGTTGCTGCTCTCTCCTCTTGTAGAAAAATTTCATTATCTTTCTCTCTCACACACTCATACCCATATCTCCCCAACCGTTTATACGAAGTTAATTATGTTGATTAAATTCGTATAATAAATTTAGAAAAACCTTAGATTCGTTAGAGAGTCTGCTGGGTGTGCGTGTATACGTAGTATGCGTCTCTACAATCTAACTGATTCTTGAATTGTCCAGTTTAGACAGTTCGAAAGTGCACTAGTATGTCCTTAACATGGCTAAGTTTCAATCGTGGAAAATTTGGTTATATCCCCTAATGTTCTTCGATTGCATACTAGATATTTGTTTACAATATCTATGTTGTGCATTTGGAGAACCCTAGGGAGATGCTGTCGAAATGATTAAAAATAGTCATATGAATTGCAAGCCACAACACATAGTGCATTTTTGAATGGGATAATGATCATTAGCGGAGGCATAAAAATGGTAGGGGAGGAATATATGTTGTTTAGGGGGGGGGGGGGGGGACGGGTTGGCGGGGAGTACGGATGGGGGTGGGAAGGGGTCAGGGGAGGACGGATGGGGTGGGGAGGGGACGGGTGCGGGGGACGGGGGACGGGGGACGGGATATATAACTAGAAAGCTAAGAAGGCATGAAAAAAAAATCAGAGGTAGTAGGGTAGAAGTAGAAGTGCCGTTTAATGATTTTGGTAGAGGAAGTGGTTGACATGACAATTCAAAAGGGACGTATCATGGTAGGTAAGTTAGAAGACATAAGTCAGCCACAATCACATGGGATGGTCTCCCCAAAACCTCTCCCCCCCCCCTCCTCTCCCCCCGGATTGATATCCTCAGCAACAACGTGTTATTTCTAGCTTCTTGCTATGTGACAAATTGTACATTATGTACAATTTTTCCCCCTTAACCCTCTATATAACAAAGTGAGCTAACGTACCAAATATACCATCAGTCCAACACATTAACCAGAAGAAACTATTATGGCTAAGTCTAGAACCACAAGTACTTGTACGAAGAATAAGAGCATTGTGAAGCTCAAAATTGTAGTGGAAAAGCTACAAAGAAGTCTATCTTTGGGAAGATCAAAATCGTCAAATTATTCCAATGGCGACTCAACGACTGTGCCGGAAGATGTTAAGGAGGGCCACTTTGCTGTGATTGCGGTGGAAGGAGATGAACCAAAGAGATTTGTGGTGGCATTGAGTTACTTGACACACTCAACTTTCTTGAAGCTATTGGAGCAAGCAGCTGAGGAGTATGGTTTTGTTCACGAAGGTGCCCTAACCATTCCTTGCCAGTCAAGCGAGCTCGAGAAGATATTAGACGATCGGCAATGGCAGGAGGAAGAAAGAGGCTCATCTAGTGATGTTAACTGGGGTTATTGTAAATCTATGGTACGGAATTGGTTTTTTTAATTTTATTGAGGCTGTATAAGTTAGTCTCTCTGCCATATTTTACATTTTGTTTGAGTAAATTGTTTTTGTTTCTCAATATATAGAGAGTAAATTTATCCACCGGCAGAGCCAGAGGAGTTTTGACATTGTTTACATTAATGTAGTGGACTTGTTAATATTCTCTAGCTTGCAAAAAGTGCTTATGTGACACCATTATGCCAATAATTAGTTTATTAATATGAAAGCTCTTAAGGAATAATTAGGTTTGGATCATAGTTATCATGATGTTGATTTGGCGACATGTCATTCACCTATGGGTGGGTTAGGTTGATCATAAATTGTGTCCTTGTTGTTTCCTATTCTCTCCTCCTTCGAAATTATGAAGTTTCAAGTCTATGCCTGAGCATCTCCAATGACAAGGAGAGATGCAAAATGCTTTGAAATAGACATTTTATATCTTTTTTTTTTGCAGGAATATTCTTCAATGACGAAATGTAAATTATCTTCTCTAGAAAATGTAAATAAAAACCTAAATTTATATTCTCTTTTACATCTTTTGATGACGTATCGTACTGATTAAAGAGAGAAAATTAAATGAGATCTCAAATTTACGTCTCTCCTATTGACATAAAGCATTTAAATCTACCTGAAAACTAAAATGAGATGTAAATATAACTTGTATACCTCAAATTTGCAATTCCCCATTGAAGGAAGGCTAAAGGCCATAATGGTGGTAAATTTAGGTTCTCTAAATATATACAAAGTGACTTTGAAAAACAGAAATATGTGCTCTAAAAATAATTCACATGTTACAATATTATAAGTGAACAAAACTACATATAATAAAACCTCACAATGTGGCATTATAATTAAAAAGCAAAAGGCGATCGAAAGTCGAAGCATCTGTCTAATAGGACTGGAGAAAAGAAAAAAGAAACACATGAAAAACTCACAGCCTGACTCATCTTCAATGCTAGATGCATTTTATATATTTTTTTCTTGGCCGGAAAACTCTCCAACGACATAATGTAAATTGTTTATCTTCGCTGAAAGATGTAAATAAAAATATATATTTGCATCTTTGTTTTACATCTTTAGAAAGCAAACTCCGCGAGTAAAAAAAGAGACAAATAAATGAGGTCCCAAATTTACATCTCTACTATTCGAGATGCTCTTGATGTCTATACAACATCCAAATAAGAGAATTTTTCTTCTTCATAATTTGTTAGACATAAGTGCTTTAGGATTATTTACGAGTTTTAATTACAATGTTGCATCAATCTATTGCAATCATTGGTTGTTCTTAACAATCCAGAGCTTCTAATGAGTTGAGTTTTGAATGCAAATTAACTCCGTTTCCTGCTGCAGCATTAAAGACTTGACTGCATACAACAAATAAAAAAGGCTAAATAGCCAAAATGGTCCATGAGATTTGCATAACTCATCACTTTGGTCCCTAACATTTCAAATCAATAAAAGTTGTCCCTGAGATTGTCCACCATCTATCATTTTGGTCATTCCATTAAAAACTCCGTAAAGTGTTCCGGAGCTCTTGGCCAGAAGTTTAGGGAATTTTCAAAGCTTCATAACTCAATCGTTTCTTAACTAAATTCGACCCATAATATATCAAAATGAAGATAGGAAAGTGTAAAATAAGATTATACCTATTTAGAAGCCCAATGGATGCCCGAGATGGCCGGAAAATAGCCTCAAAGTTAATTGGTCCGAGGGAAAACTGGAAAACTCGCCGGAAACTGAGTAAACTTTAAATGTTCATAACTTCTTCAATACTCAATGAAATCAAGTGATTCAAAAACGAAAATCTTACCTCTAGGCGAGAGGAAGATAATGGTATCTTTTTTTATAGTTAAATCGCCATGTTTTTTTTCCGGAAAACTACTCGAAAGTGGCTCTCTTGGTCTCAAGTTAGCCACTTTCGAGCCATTTTCCGGCTAAACCACAGCTAGTTAGCCATCGAAAAAGGTACCATTCTCTTCATCTCGTCAAGAAGTATTATTTTTGTTTTTGAATCACTTGATTTAGTTGAGTATTTAAGAAGCTATGAACGTTTAAAGTTTACCCAGTTTTCCCTCGGACCAGTCAACTTTGAGGCTATTTTCCTGCCATCTCTGGCAGCCATTGGGCTTCCAAATAGGTATAATCTTATTCTATACTTTTCTATCTTCATTTTGATATATTATAGGTCGAATTTGGTTAAGAAACGATTGAGTTACGAAGCTTTGAAAATTGCCCAAATTTCCGGCCAAGAGCTCTGGGATACTTAACGGAGTTTTTAACGGAATGACCAAAATGATGGATGGTGGACAATCTCAGGGACCACTTTTATTGATTTAAAATGTTAGGGACCAAAGTGATGAGTTATGCAAATCTCAGGGACCATTTTGGCTATTTAGCCAATAAAAAATGAATAACAAAAAGTACATGAGTGAAACATTGCTGGATTTGATGTATTCTCATGTTAAACAATAGTTTTAGCTCAACCCATGCATCCATGCACATCTGCTATGTCTGATTCTTTTGCTAACTTGTGGACGAAGATTTGGAGGGCTCGTGTGCCTCCAAAAGTGACGGTTGGAATGTGGTGAGTCTGCAACGATATAAATCCCAGACAGAGTGAACTTGGCGACGAGATATATTGGGTCTCACGCAACGTGTGTTCTGTGCGGTGCTCAAGGCCAGTCTTCTATCCACCTGATGGGGGACTGTCACTTTGCAGCTTGTGCTTGGGTTTCGTCGCCGCTAGGCCCTCCACCATGGAGCTGCGATGGGATGTCGATTAAGGAGTGGATGGCTACAGTGGCAAAGCCATGAATCGTTGAGGGGAGGAGTGAAATAGAAAAAGACAAAAGGTCATAAAAAATGTAGACAACTAAATTTTTTTAGATATATATATTAGAAAATATTAATGTTGCTCATAATTTATCAATACAAACAAATTATAATTGTTGTTGACGAGGTTTTATGTTATATAAACATCGCAAAATAGGCTCATTATTAAGAAATGCCAAAAAAATTCTCTCAATGTAAACAACCATGATATCCATCAACCATTGATCTCTCATTTTGTTATGTAGTGGTGTTTTCACAATAGTTATAGTAGAAAACGCTTTATTCCCGGAAGTGGTTGCAACTGGTAACACTAAAAGCATGTAAGAAGCTTATACACTAACTTACAGCTTTCACACCTCTTAGTATTCACCAATTCCTTTAAAAGATCACTAATTTCTTTTAATGATGAAAAATTACCATGCATCTTCACAAATGCTTTTGAGGGGAAATGCTAAAACCAAACTAGTCATGAAATGTAGTTTAGTGACTACTAGTTTAAGGCCTAAATCTAACCAGTTGAGACATTTATATTACGTTTGATTCAGTGTATAGTTTGAGAGCAAAAATAATCAAATCAGACTACCCTATGTGAAACAGTTTGCTGTGTTTCTTTATCCACCAAAATACCCTAGAAAAGGATATTCATGTTTCACTAGACTTGAGATAGATGAGAGTAGAGGAATACACATGGCGCAATCTAGTTGCACCACATGACAAAGTCCAAAAATACAGAGTGTAGTCAGCCATGTGGGTTTTTAAACCAAAATGAAATATGTTTCTTCATATTCTCTTCAATCTATTCTTCTCTGCAAAGCGCTAAATTGGGCATGTAATCAGGTTTCAAATTTTATTTTTTAATTTGGGATTTTTTAGAAACTAGTCTGTAATCTCATGTTTCAAGTGTTCTTGATTTCAATTGTGTCATTTGGAGGTTCAAATGAGATTAAGGAGCAGCTTTGAGGAATTCAGGTAAGTTATGTGCTCATATATTGTTGATGTCAAGTTTTGGAAGAATTCAGGTAAGTTATGTAAGCGGCTTTGAAGTTGGGCAGTGGCTTGGCTTGAAGACTACAACTTTGAAGAGAAAGGCGAAGCCGCTAATGGGGGCAATCTGGACGAGTGGTCTTCCATATGTTAATGACTCGGCGACTGCGCAGAAATCAGGGCTTCATTCCAGCGAGAGGAGTTGCGGCCGCCCCTCCTTGCCCCTATTAAGCTTCCCCATTTGATGGCTATGCTTGCCTCAACTCTAAAGCAACATGATTTTGAACTAGGGTTGATAATTATGTGTCTGATATGGGGGGTTAGAAACAATCTCCTTTGGAATGGAAAAATGGAAGGTCTTAATGTTTTACCTGCAAAGGCCATCGCTTGGTGGCAACAATCAGGATTTGCAAATGAATGTTGGGCTGGGCCTCAGAGACATATCGATGTTTGTTTATTAGTGGGTCATTTGATCCATCTCTCAAAACTTCTCCGAGTGTCATCTTCCTCATTGACATCCAGTGATGAATCGATATTATTCTGTATTGTTATCCTAATTTTAGTTATAATTTATTTGTTATTTTGTGAGAATTTTGATACTTTGTTTGATAATTCAATTGTAGAACATGCTGAAATTGGTACCAAGTGGAATAATCTCTATATAAAAATTATAATTCGCTAGACTAATTAGTCAAGCTCGCTAGTCAACTAAGATAGATTTGTTAGTCAATAAATCTAAGATTTAAATACCAATTTCAGTTTCCAAAAACTATCCTAGTCAGCAAGGCTATAGTTCGTTGCAAGTTATCAATGTGTCATGTGAGCATAATAGTGAACACATGCCATTTAGATGTTGAACAGATATATGTACCATGTATGTATGTGTGGGATGTGTGACACAATAAACATAACTTGAACTCAATAAATGTAAGTTGAACACAAGATATTTTTGGCCGGAAAAACCCACCTCTGGGTTAAAAAACCGAGGACTCTCCACTGAGTCCAATCCACTAGTGTAAATAAAGTTTCATACAAAGATCACACAAGCTCAATTCCTAGATCCCTATCTACAGAGCAGCTATACCTTTGTGCAACCTTATCTTACACTAGATGAACTCCTTCAGTCTTCACTAAGTAGCAGCTCATCCTAAGCTCTTCACCTTGTCGCATCGATATCAACTTAAATCACAAAATGATATGATATTATGATATGCATTTAAAATCTGGATTCAAATGACTAATCAGATTCTCCAATCAAACAGTTGAAGGAAGAATCTAACTTGAATCCAAAAGTTTGGTGTAAAAATGGATTTAAAGCTTATAAACCAAACCAAGAACTTAATGCAAAGCCT